TCCTAAATACATTGATGGCTTGAGGAGGGAGAGTGCTACCTCAAACTTCCCCGAAATCAAACAGCATGTAAATACCGTGTCTTGCAAATGGCATAACCCAAGAGGAGAGCATTGCTTTGCCAGCCATTCCCAACGCTTGCTGAATTCTTGTCACAGTGCTATGCACCGACACATGCCCAAGAGCTAGACAAGCTAGCTGGCAATTTGAAGAGCACTAGCTAACTCTACAAAGCAAACTCCTGTGGCTAACTTGTTCTGATACACTGCAAACTCTTGCTGTCTCGGGCATCTTTGGTGTAGCACTGTGCTGTGTAGACATAAATCCTCAAGAATTTCTAATGTTGCCAAGTCCTAGGCAGTACAGAGACTTTTCCTTCCACTACACTTGCAGGTAAGATAACTAAACAGCTGGATTTCTAACTAAGCAGCTGGATTTCTACAGCTCTTTTGCATTGCCTTCACTTCCTTGACAAGGAGTACCTGTGTTTTCCAACTGAAGGTTGATTAGTGGTCAAAGCATTTGAATGGGACTCTGTAAACCTGGGTTCTAGACCCCGTAACAGGGTGTTACCTACTGTAAGCCTGTGCTCTTATCTGCTAGATTCAAGTCCAGAGAGGGTACAGCGATAGGGCTGACCTCCTTATGCTGGGGACAAAGAGGATGTGTCCAGAGACAAAGGGCTGGAGGTTCTAGCGTGAATTTGTCTTGGTGGGGATGGTTTCTTGTCTCCATTTACTTGAGCTTTGCAAGGCTGAAGCTTAAAGTGAGAAATGGACTAACAGACTGGGAGTTTGAATGTGTAATCCACGCATATTACCACATAGTTCCTGCTAACTTAAATAACTACCAATCACAAATCCTTTCCATGGGCCTGTGGAAACCCTAGACTGAGTAAATCTCAAACAGTCATTTAGTTTAATGTGTGTCACAAACTTGGGAAAACCTCAGAAAATGCAAAGTTGGGTGCAGGAAATACTGAGAGAAGGTGCTCTCCACACATTTATTCAAGCAAACATATAAAGACCCTTCTTGCCCATTACCTCTGGATGAGCTGTTTGAAAAGACTGTGTGTTCGGTCCTGCAGAACCTGTTTATTTTTTGTGATGGGATCAGGGTCATAGGTAACCTTCTGTTCCAGTTCCTCAAGCTTTTTGAGCTGCTGACGAACTTGCTGTAGACTTTCCGCAACAATGGTGAACCTGCAATTACACAATCTTATTACTTCTAGCGTGCTTTTGTATTCTAATAATGCTGAGATGCTGGCCAGGTGACTGTCCCAGAGAACACTTCTTGCTTGCTGAAGTGTGGGGAGGTAATAAAATTAATGAAACGTAATTATGCTGTGACAGAATGAAAATTGGTAATATAATCGGTATATTCTACAGATCTGGTGTTCCTTCCTAACACTTCAAGTTCCTGCCCAACACAGTCCTTGACTACAGACTTACCAGTTCTGTAGCTGGTCAAGACAGGCGTTGGGTGGGCCACCAATACACGCAGTCTGTTGCCTGTGCTTCCACTCCACCAGCTCCTTGTTAATAAGGGCACTCTGTGTGTGCTCTGTGTTGTTCAGCAGCTGCACTATCTTGTTCACCACTTCCTACAGAGAATATTAAATGAACCCGTTTAATAACACTTGATACAGGAAAACGAAGCACTGTTTTAGCCAATGCTATCTGTCTTGCAAAACTCTGCAAGGATCCCAAAGTAATAGTTGCTGTCAATGGAGGATGTTTTCTTAAACACCTGCTTCTTTTTAGCTGGAGTATTTGCCAGATTAGGTGGAAAACCAAAGCATATTCAGTATTCAATTCTGAAGTGCCAGTTCCTCGCATCTATGTATGTCCAAAGTGCGTATCTGGGATCACGGCATGCAGGCTGCAGACTTGAGCACCACCATGAGAGTGAGCACGTTTAATACAGCTGCAAACTTTAAAACCGTGTTTTCCTCAAGAACATGACTACTGATACAGTAATTTTCTCTCTCACTGTTCTTTTGGCTTTACCTGACAAGAGTTTGATCAAGACTGCTAGAAGAAAAATATAACTGCTTACAGAGATCCTAGATTTCTCCAGTCAGGATGGAAAGAATGAAATCTTAGTTCAACTGATATTATGAAGTTTTCTTTTATATAACTTGTCAACCCAATAAAAATGAACACGTGTTCAAAATGAAGTGGTGTTGCTCTCTGAAAGAAAACTAGAGCGCTACCTTTCTCTTGAGGTCGAGCAATAAGAACATCTTCTTGAGATTCATTTGTTCTTTCTTATATTCCTCCTGTGACAAACCGTTGGACTCGTGCTCTGTAAAACAAGTCCAAAGTGTGAAGTTGAGATTGGAAGAACAGGCAGTATGGGTTAGGAACCACCGTGGGGAGGACCTGCCTGGCTAATGTCTAGTGAAGTCTATCTCTAAAGCTTCATGGAGTAAATAATTACTTCTTCCTAGACTTAAATTTTTTTATTCTTCCTTTCTGCCTCCTGAAAGGACAGAGGCTATGCTTAAAGCACTAATGCAAGGAAAAACTGCTATGCCCCTGAAGTAACTGAGATATGGCTGCTTTTTGGAGCAAGAACCTGATTTAAAGTAATGCTGCTGTTTTGTAAAGATACACAGAGCAATTTGTTCTCGTTCTTATTTCTCACACGAATCATTCGTATTGCTTAACCTGGCAACAGAAGTTAACTTATTTCAAGGGAGGATGCTGACAGCCTTCTGAGGGTAGCCCAGGCTTGACAGATCCTCAACTTGTGCCCTATTTGCATGTGCTTCCCTCACTACACCAGGGCCTACAAAACTTAAAGAAGGGAAGGCATTTGTGAAATCTAGGGTGGCAGAGGAACCTAAATTATTTACGTGTATGAACGATCATAGGGTCTATAGGGTTTTCTCTTTCCAGTAACAAAGGGGTGTAAAGGATAAAGGAACACTGCATTAACAAAGAGGCTCTCACTTTTTGTCAGGACAGATACAGAGAGGGCATTTTTGGGAATTTCGGTTTTGGCATAAAGCAGAATTAAGAGAGGAACATTATCAGTAAGTTTAGCTGCAGATCACTAGGTTTAGTTTCCCGACATAAGGCAGCAGAGTTTACTCTTATCAAGTACATGCAGTGAGGTATGTCCTTGACAAATTACTCGCCTCTATTCTGCAAGGTTTTACATTTGAAGTCATATTCATCTTGCATATCCTCTAATGTCTTGATGTCTTGCTCCACATCCTATAAAGCACAAATGAAAGTGGTCATAATTATTCAATATTTTTATGTAATGCAAGATTTCTGATTAGGAACTGCCTGGCACCAGCTGCTTTATAGAGACAAAGTCCAGTTTTACAGCGGTATGTTTTTCTAGAACTCCCCAAATGGAAATACCCCTAAACTTAATCACCTTCTACTCATCATCCCTCTTCTCAGGTAACTAAAATATGATAATTATGAAATACGGAAAAGCCCTCACTGTCTAGCCATCTAAGTTCACAGAATTTAGAAGAACCTAGGCTACAGTGGAACAGGACACAGCATCTTAAGTAAACTTTCAAGTTCTTCGATATTGCTTGGAGAAAAGCTTTCTGTCATGACAGTACCTAAGACAAACATCTACACAGTAACTTAAAATCTATCTCCTAGTTAATAACAAAACGGTTTAGTGTATGATTTCCTAAGAGTTCTCAGTTTTTAGTATTCCAGATGGGTAAAATGGTTTTGTTGCTAAAATTTAAGCACAAGAAATTTGATCTTGCTAAACCAGTCAAGTACCAATCCGTACCATGGCGCTACTGACGGATAATCACTTTCTGTTTTCAGACAAGCGCTGGTCATAGACTTGAAAACCAAACCATCACCTTATTTTTATGGTCACTTCCTGGTCTGATGTACTTAAAGCTTTCTGACATCTGTGAATCAATAAATACAACTTGAAATGGTTTTACTATACTTACCACAACACTGTTTTTTACAGCCTTAACTTTTGCATCTAGCTCCTTCTGTTTGTCCAGCATCCCAATCACGGTGTTCTGTATGCTCCCCACTTCCATCTGAGGGAAGCAAGCAAAATGACAACAGAAGTCAAACCAGACCGACCTGTGACAGCAAATGCTTTTATCATGAGTGTAACTTAGTGGCTTTTGTTGACAAACAGCCTGATAAAGCATGGCTTGTTCTGAGAAATCACATGAACGTTTTATAATATTAAACTGAGTTCACCTGTATTTGCAAGAAACGAGGGAGGACCGAAAATGCCTCGTGTATCTTTTTTCATCACGGCAATATAAAACAAACATTCTGTTTTCTTTCTGCACATCTCCTTCCTTTTGTTTGCTTATCTTCAGGTGTCTTCTAAATGTATTTCAAGAAAAAAAACCCCACACTCAGATGGCTGGATGACATCTACATCAAGTGTTAATTCATCCATACAGGATATGGGGAGAAATGGACCGAGAGCAAGACAAACTAGGTCTGTGTACAGGCAAATGGAGTAACCTGGTATGCAATTTCTTTCCTACTGGGCATTCAAGCACACTTTTAGATCTCTGTATCGTTTCTTTGAAAGCTGACATCAATCTCCTGCATGAAGTTTATTGCATGACATCACTTGGGGAGAGCTGCAGTAACGTGAAAGACAAGCTTGTTGTTTGGCACACCAAGAGTACTACTGGTACTAGAAACCTGCTGTTCCTCCAGTGCAGGACAGGCAGGTATCCGTCGTTGCTCTGCCTAATGCCTCAACTTCGGCTAAGGTCATCTAAAATACTTCATCTGGTAAATGGGCAAAAGTCCCCAGCCAGACCATCAAGGCAGTCTGAGCATACTCTTAACACTGCTCCTTTGGTTTTTATGAGGCTTGTAATTGTGCTTGCTCTGCATTTTATCTTCTCAGCTTTGGAAAATGAGAACTTTCACCAGAAAGCAGAGGTAGGGCACGGTGGTGTACCTAGTGCCAGCAGCACTTATTTCCCTTTTTGATGACCCAAATACATCACATGTAGGACAGGCAGTGAGCTCTTTGTCATGCGCGAGAACGGAAACTGAACAGCTGTGCTGCAGCTACAAGGGCTCCTCGGTCCCATTTTGAGAGGAGCGATTTAGGACACAGTTGCATAGCTGCCCCTTGTTGAATGCCTGTGCCTCAGAGTTCTTCCCACTCTACCAACCTGCATTCAAAAAACTTGCCCTAAAGGAAAATGTTTCAGTATCAGAACTCCAACATGCTTGGTCAGTCACCACTTTATTGCTACATAGATTAATTACATCCAGCTATGTAGTTTGCACACCTCTCCCAACTGCAGGGTGGTGTTTTTTTTTTTTTAATCCAACAGTTCTCCTTGCATAGGAGAGAACAAAAAAAAAAACAACAAACCAAACACCCCAAAAATATGAAAACTCAGAACAGATGAGGAAGGAGAATACAGCTTTACAATTTACATATGGTTTGGAGGAAAAAGTAGGCTTCACTTAAACAAAATCGTGAAGAAATACTTGGAGATAACTGGGAAGGAGAATGATGCGTTATTTTCCTAAAGAGACTGTCCAAAGAAGCACCAAGGCTCATCTGCTTAATACAGAGTAAATTCAGGAGTAAACCACAGGAAAGCTAAAATCTTGCTAGAGAAATAAGACAAGCACTAATTATCAAATTGCAACAAAATCTGATGAGCACATTAGGTTATATGACAGAAGCATTAAAAAAACAAACACCATAGCATTTAAATCCCTCGAGCAATAAAAATTACTTCCTGGCTATTTTCCTTCCAAATGTTTCCTACAGCACAAACAAGCCGTGCTGTCCAGCTGGCACATATCAGTGTTCACTCCTCTGTCTTTAAGAATCATTTTGTTGGGCACAGAGAGGACTGTCTGCTTCTTTCGGTTGTCTTCCACTCCCTTGGTCCAAATAACAGCAAAGGGCAGATACAACTACTGGAGATGTTCCAAGACTCTTACCTGACTTGACAACTGGGCACTGCTGAGTATTTTCCTCTCTTCTTTCAGACAGTTGTAGATGATCATTGCCATGTGTATGGGGTCTTCTTGGAAGTTATCCTGGCGTTAGAGACAGTATGTTAGCCCATACCCATCATTTCTTGTCCTCCAGTAAACCAACTGGCTAAAAGATTAGCAGGTGACTGTGTGAGCCTCAGGGCATGTGCTGGTGGAGGCATGCCTTAAGGCTATAGGGAGTGCGACAGCTGCCAAGAAATGAGTTTGTGTTTTAGTTCATTAGTGTACGAGATGGGGCTTGGCACAAAATAACAAGAAAGGTCAGAAATGTTTCTGGGAGAACTAAGATACGACCCTACAGTCCTAGAGAGAGCTTGTCTTCTCTCGAGAGCCACCCTCCCACACCTTTCAAGCACAGCTGCTAGTGTTGAAGGGTGGTCGTTTGAGTTTGACAGGTACAGCTCTTGCTTATGAACACCCAACCAAGGCTGGAAACAAATTCAACCCTTATTGTTGTTTTACACACAAAGTTGAAACACGCTCTGGATTGAGACTGTCATGCTCCACCCAGGCTGGGGGATTGTGGAGCCATCCGAGCCTTCTTGACTAATCTTCCATTGCTGATCTATAGTTATTATTTGATAAGTACAGCTTGGTGACGTTCTTGGAAAATGGTCCCTTCGTCACTGCCTTGGGTGAGGAGAAGGCAGGTGTGTGTAAAATAGGCTGTGGAGGTGACTCTATGGGAGATCCTCTGGCATAAAGCCCTATGGGAGGAGAGGAGGACTGACTAATAAAAGTAATTAAGTCCACTAAGGATATGTTCGGCACCGTCACTCGCTACCAATTGCTCTGGCCCTTTTTTCTGTCAGTACGATGCACAGAAGCGCTGTCTAATGACAAGTCCTTTCCTATTAACTGTAGTTCTGCAGTTATGAGGGAAGGATATTTTCCTCGTGTTCCTTCTGCACCAGAAACTTATCAGGACACTGACGCAACTGGCTGGGGAAGGGGTGGGATGAGTGAAACTACATTCCAGTAAGCGCTCCAACTACATACTGTAAATACTTAGAAACCATAACTTTTTTTCCCCAGATTTCTCAGAAGCCCTAATTGTACTGCTACTGAAACTAGATTTCTAACTGTAACCAGAGCAAGAATCCTGGCTTTTAAAGTGGGATCCTCACATATTCTCTGCAAAAATCCCTTGTGGCAGGGTAGTTTGTGTAGAGGCATCTAACTGAAGCAACTCAAGCAACTGTACAGTCATATACCCCAGGCCTACCTGAAGATTACGTTTGCTTTTCCTTATGTTGTGTTGCAGCAAAAAGTTGTTTTCTATCAAGAATCTACTAAATTGATCGTCAAGCTGTGACAGCAGGTCATGGAATAACACCGTAGCAAAAGATACGTTGTTGGCTGCGTGTTCCCTAGAATAATTTAAGGCATGCTCATATTAAATACATTTTCAATACAGCATTCAAGAAACACACACAGGAGTAACTTCTTTTTATTCCCCAACTCCAGCTGTAGTATATGCAAGCAGTAAGAACTGCCTTCAAACATAATCCAGTTTCGTTCTCTCAGCTTTCACTTTCCTCGATTCTGAAATGTTTTTCTCTGTATTCTTGCCACATTCTGTGCAACTTCATTTACCCATGCCATGCACGTTAAGAAGCCAAAAGTGAACAACCTGATGCACGTGCATGTTGCACCACTCAGAAAAGCTGACACTCCATGGAAATCATGGCAAAAGTTCAAAGTCTGCAAACAGCCTAGCAGCTTGCTTCCCTACTACTCTTTTACTGCATGTATGAGAACACTGATTATCTGAAAGCCGGTTTCTGTGCTTACCAATCCTGGTTTTCCAGCCACTGTGCCAGGTACTGCCTGATTTCCATAGGAAAGCTGTCATCGTAGAGTTGGTGGACTTGTTCCAAAAACTTGGAATCAAGTTGCTGTAGCTGAAACCACTGAGCCATCCTGAGGAAGACCAGAAAAAAAAAAAAATAATCAGCGTAAATGTTTAAGTAGAGATATGGGAATGAGGACCTGTGTGTTTGATATCTGTACTCTGTAGGATCAAGATCCTGTATGTGGAGTTTCACATTTTGTGAAACTCATGTGCTTTTGATATAAAATTTCAAATGGTCTTAATCAACGCTAAGACCGACAGCTAAGAGTTTGTCATTTCATTTTAGGTTTGAGTTCAAGGAAGAAGGTGCCTTCCACATCACTCAGAGAAGAACTGCTGCTAAACACAGTGAAGTATACAAAGTAAATCTCAGTGTAAAAACATCTGTAGTTAAGAAAATACAAAATTATTCCCCTTCAACTATGCTTTTATTGACTAGAAATCTCTCTCTTGCCATGCATAATTCTCTTGTGAAATAGGGATACCTGAAGTTTATAGAAAAAACAAGATTACTTTGAGAACACAAGATCCTGCCAAAAAGGACCACAGCATGTGAAGTGTTTAAGCAGTTTTCCTGTTTGGCCCATCAGAGAGTAAATCGTTTCAGCCTGGCACTAGGTACACATACCTTGCCAATTTGACTTAATCCCCAAAACTCTGAAGAGTGGAGGTGCCCTCACAGGGGCTCTATCGCAATCTCCTACTTATAACAGGGCCAACATGGAATTCAAACTAAGCTCGGCATTTTGTTGTGTCGAAACGGGAGAACCTCCCAGGACAAAAGACTACACAGCTCCCCTTGCTCCGCTCCGATGTCTGACTGCCTCCATGGAGCAAACCTAACTGAGAACGTCATAAATAATCTCCTCCACAGTTCGCAGAAAGGCTGCTGGTTCAACCCCATAAGCTCATTTTGCTCGGCCTCTCCCCACAGGTTCTGTGCCCCAAGTCACTAAAGCATCGGGGCCACTTCTCATCAGACTTCCAAGGTGGAAGATGGTGGGGATGGAAAGACAACATAATTGCCCCCATCTCTTGGCTGTGCTCCTGTCGTTAGCACAGCCCGCTGTCAGCCCTCACTGCTGCCAGGGCACACTGCTCACATGTTTAAGCTGCTTCGCATTTTAAACTAGGACTAAGTTTACTCTTGTCAACAACAGAACTGTAAATAAAATTTTTGCTAACTGGGGACCTGAATGGGATTATTTTTCTTTCTTCCTTCCAAGTTACAATAACAAAAAACCCCAAAACATTCAAAGTAGTGATATACCACAGGGAAATGCCTCTGGCCAATGAGAAAAGGTACCAACAGATACCTAAACCCCCCTTTTCTAGGGAGTCCTGAGAAATCAACCTGCCACTGTTCTCCAGGAATCTGGGGTTTAATTCCAATTTCTACCATCTCTTATCTGGGTGAACTCCATAGTTAGCACTTTTCCTGCAAGATATTTTATTTCATTCTTCTCTGCTTCCCTCAAGATCTGATTTTCGTTCCCTGGTACGACTGTAAAATGTTCGTTTCAGATGCTCATTTGGCTGCTGACTTGGCCTTAAAAATCTGCTAGCCTGTTTCCCTTTTCAGGATTAGCAGCTCCTTTCTGGTGTTCTTTGCAGTATATAGAGGCCACCACTGACTATAATACCTAATTATGATTCACATCTTCCCCCAGAGGTCCCCCTATATCATTCCAATGTATCAAAATACATCCCAAATGGCTCTTTTTCACTACACCTCCACTTTGTTTTCTCCCTTTCTCAGCTCGCTTCGCTCATCTCCGCCCACGCTCATCGTGGGACAACGGAACCGCGGATCAGAGCTCCGCACTTGCTCCGCAGCTACATTGCATCTCGCTCCACAAAAGTTTCAAAGCAAGTACACATCAATGCGCAAAAATCATATCCCGAAGTCGGTATCAGTGCCAACCGTCAAAGTACCATACAAATCCAACCAAACTAATTTATACTGCAGACCAAGTGACTAGTATTGATCCAGTATACCAATCCAAATCAATATATACTTTCCAGTACAGAAATCTAAAACAAGTACACAAGGAATTAATTACTTAATCCTGTATATGGTACCCTACATAGAACATCTTCTATTATTTAGGGGTACCCCAACATTGCAACCCCCAAAAAAGTATACAGGATTACATCAAACCAAATTCAATCAAATTAATATAAATCCAACTCAACCAAGGTACAAAACCAAAGCAACATAAGTTAAACCAAATTAACCCTGTATACAGTACCCTACATAGAACATCTAGGCTTCACAAGTACCCCAAAATCAACGGTGCACCTCAAACCCAAACTCCTCCTAAAAAGAATACCTTTGGTATAGATGGTCCTTGTCCACTCCCACAGTGATCCGGGTGAGGCAAGGAGTCCCTCTGGGAGCTCCCAGGGGCATCCAGGGAGTCCTCTTTCCCAGTGGATCCTGCAGCCGAATAGAGAGGTACCATCTGGATCGCCAAAACTCACGCAGAGAAACTCAATAACTGAAGTTATTAAGCAGGTATTCTTTATCATGGCACCAGGCACAGGGAAACTTTGACATATATGGGCTGCCTACATGCATATTCATGGACTCATTAACATAAGTCCCTGCCCAGTTTGCACACACAGTGCATCTCTCTGGTGGTCCTCAAGTTGGCTTTGATGGTCTTCCTCCTCCTCTGCCTGGTACCTCAGATCCTGCACCAGGTAATCCCTGTCCAGCTCTGCAGGCAGAGCTCCTGGCCTCCCCCTAAGCTCTCCTGCACCTTGCACATCCCCTCTTCTGGACAAAACAGAACAATTCTGAAATCCACACACCAAGCTACAGAACACAAACAAGTATCCCAAACTACCGGACATAAACAACTCTCAAATTTCTATCCCAACCTACAAACTTCCACACATCACCCTCCTTCCTGGGCTGCAGGTTTGCATCTTGTAGTGGAAATGGCATATAAAGACACGTCCATGGAGGAGTCCAGGCTCAGACCGTGAGTGGTGAGACGTAAGTACACTTGCAACTGCAACTTCTAAAAAGAGTGATAGGGCTTATCCAAGGAACAGAGCAACACCGAGGTGTAGGACTATTTCATACATGGCTCTCTGCCAAATCTGTTGGCGTGCGTATGCCAGTTCCTTCAGCAACCGAGTGGTGCATGTTACGCATAGAAGCAAACGCAAGTTTAAAATGCTATTATGTTTAAAGTGAGGGCTTTGAGGATTTTGATGAGTGTGGGACTCAGATTACAGGTAACCGAGCAGCTAGGCATGCTGTGGTGGCACCAAGGCAAAGAGGTGAGGAAAGCTGGAAGAATTTGTCTCAGTGTGTGAAGTTGGTTTGATTTGGTTTTCATTGTATGTTTGGTTTTTTTAATTAGCACTTAAATGAAGATATACTCCAGTCTTCCTGTGTCTTAAGGCAGCTAGACTGGGAAAGGATTTAGTAGTAATAGCAGAGAACCATCCCAAGAGCTGGCTACAAGCAATACAATAATGCAGCAGTCGCAGACCTTGGGGATGTAAGCAAGGAAACATTGAAGTCAGTACTTTTTGTGGAGAAAGGCATTAGAGATGCCAATACTGGGATAGAGGGCTTTGCCTGCCACTGGCAAACTGACAAGTGAAGTGGTTTAGGATGGAAACCCAATTTTACTAGTCTGTAAGGGCAGCAGGATTGCATCTGGAGAAATTGCAGCTGCCTGGGTCTGTGTGCCTCAAACACCTGTGCCCGAGGGCAGGCGTCATCCCCAGCTAAGCTTGGACTCCTCTCCAGCTGCATTTTAACAACATTTAACCCCGCCGCCTCCTAACAGTTCCATGAGGAATGGAACTCCTGACTTCCTAGGTGACTGCTGCTGCCCTGGTTTGAGCCTAAAAGCGACCAGTTCTACCCAGCGATTTTGGCTTTTCAGCTCAGCCTCTTCTAAGGGGCTGCACTTTCTGACGCCAGCAGCATGTTTCTGCAGACAGGGTGTGCTCCTAGAAGTGAAAAAGCCCGATGTTCAGTCACTGTGGAGAAGGGCTCTTGCTCATACCTGCTCCTACCGTGACCAAGGTCACCGCTGGCTCTCGCGTGCCACGCTGGGGGTGCCGGGAAGTTGAAGGGGTTGCAAGGAAGTAAAAAGATCACACCTTTGGGGAGGAACGGATGGGAGAGGTGACCAGCAAGCCATCCATAGCCATCATAAACCCGAGCGATCGCGGGGGTTAGACCCTCTTCTGCTGTACTGTTGCTTCGTTAAAGCTGCTCTGGTTCTTTCCCAACCTGCAACCCTCTCCGCTCTATTCCATCTTCCCTTC